ATACAGATTCAATGCAATCAGCATCAAAATTACGACACAATTCTTTACAGACCCTCAAAGAATAATACTCAACTTAATATGGAAAACCAAAAAGCCTAGAATAGCTAAAACAATCCTGTACAATAAAAGAACTTCTGGGGGCATCACCATTCCTGATTTCAAGCTGTACTACAGATCTGTCATAACAAAACTTCAAGGTATTGGCATAAAAACAGATACATTGATCAATGGAATTGAATTGAAGACCCAGACATAAATCTACAAACCTCTGAACACCTAATTTTTGATTTAAAAAAAAAACAGAAATACACAACAGAGAAAAGAAAGTATCTTCAACAAAGGGTCTAACTGTATGTCAACATATAGAAGAATACAACTAGATCAATATCTGTCATCCCACACAAAACTCAAGTCCAAATGGTTTGAAGACTTCAACATTAAACCACACACACTGAACCTGATAGGAGAGAAAGTAGGGAATACCATTGAATGCATCGGCACAGGAGACAAGTTTCTGAACAGAACACCAATGGTGCTGGCACTAAGATCAACAATTAATAAATGGGACCTTGTGAAACTGAAAAGCTTCTGTAAGGCAAAGGACACTGTCAATAGGACAAAATGGCAGCCTACAGAAAGATTTTCACCAACTCTACATCTGAAAAAGGCTGGTGTCCAGAATATTTAAAGAACTCAAGAAACTAGACATCAACAAATTAAATACTCTAATTTAAAAATGGGGTACCGATCTAAACACAGAATTCTCAATATAGGAATCCCAAACGGCTGCAAAACACTTAAAGAATTTTTCAACATCCTTAGCCAACAGGGAAATACAAATAAAACCTACTTTGAGATTCCATCTTACACCTATCAGAATGGCTAAAAGCAATAGCATACATGACAGCTCATGCTGGTGAAGATGTGGGGCAAGAGGAACACTACTCCACTGCTGGTGGGAATACAGTCACTATGGAAATCAACATGACAATTCTTCAGAAAACTGGTAATTAATTTACCTCAAGACCCAACTATACACCACTCAAAGGATGCTCCATCTTACCACAAACACATTTGCTCAACTATGTTCATAGAACCTTTATTAATAATAGCCACAAACTGGAAACGACCTAGATTTCTCTTAACCACTGAATGGCTAAAGAAGATATTGTAATTTATATAATGAAGCATTATTCAGCTGCTAAAAAAAAAGCACATCATGAAATTTGAAGTCAAATGGATGGAGCTGGAAAAAAATCATCCAGAGTGAGCCAACCCAAACTCAGAAAGACAAATGTGGTATGTACTCACTTGTAAGTGGATATTAGCTGTTAAATAAATGATAATCATTCTACAATCCACAGACTCAGAAAAGCTAAGTAATAAGAATGACTGGGGGGAGGTGCATGGTACTCCCTGGGAAGGAGAAATAGAATAGATTTTACAAGTGGACTGGGGGTGTGTGGAGATGGCAATAGGAGGGATCAGATGGGGTGGAGGGATGTAGTGAGAGAGTAAGGGGAGAGATGACTGGAGTTAGAGGGCATTTGGGGGAGATGAGAAAACCTAGGGGAATTTTCCTGGAATTTATGAGGGTGGCCCTACTGAGGACTCCTAGTAATGGAGGATATGATGCCTGAAACATCCATCTTCTGTAATCAGGCAAGGCTTCCAGTGGTGGGACTGGGACATCAACTCATCCACAAAACCTTCCACCTATAAACTGTCCTGTGTGCAAGATGTGCTGGGTCAATGGAGGTTCAGAGCTTGTGGGAGTGGCCAATCAATGATTGGTCTAATTTGAGGCAGACCCCACAAGAAGGAGTCTCTGTACTAGAATGCTTGGATGACTAGCAACAGGAGGCTGGATAGCCCAGAGACCAAGGCAAGAATCAACTGCCACTGGTCAAAAATAAATAATAAATTAATTAAATGATTCCTAATGATGTTCAACTATATTCATAGATCAGTGCCTAGTCCAGTTGTATAAAAGAGGCTGCCTCCAGCAGCTTATGAGAATGTATGCAGAGATCCACAGCCAACCATTAGGTGGAGAGAGAGCCCAGGTTGGAGGTCTCCATTGGGTCCCTCCCTCCTAGCTCCAGGGACCCCTGGGGAAGACAGGGAGGAGGAATAGTGGAAGCAGAGGAACTGAAGACAGGGAGAGCATGGCTTGTGGAATCAGGTAAGCAGAGCTCATAGGAGCTTACAGACACTGAAAGGACAATCACAGAGCCTACATGGTTCTGTGCTAGGTCCTACGCATATATGTTACGGTTGTTAGCTTGGTGTTTGGAGGGATTCCTGTCAGTGAAAGTGATTGTGTCTCTGACTCTTTTGACCAGTCTGGGGTCTCTTTTTCCTCCTATTGGGTTACCTTGTCCAGCCTTGATGTGAGAGTTTGTGCCTGGTCTTATTGTATCTTGCTGTACTGTGTTTGGTTGGTGTCCCTGGGATGCCTGCTCTTTTCTTGGGACAGACAGAGTTGGGAGGCAGTGGATCTTGTAGAGAGGGGAGATGGGGAGAACTTGGAGAAATGGAGGAAGGGAAAGCTGTGATTAGGATGTCTTATATGATAAAAGAATAATCTTTTTAAAAGAGAGAAAACAGTGTAACAATCAAACCCACTTGCCTTGAATTTCCCATTTAATCAGCTTTTGCAACTTAAACTAATGCATAGTTACAAATTTACCCTATTTACTCTTCCACACCTTGACCCAGAACAATGCATGTGTACATTGCTGAAAGCAACAAATACAGAGGTTGAAAGCAACCTTCCAAAATCTGCCAGAAAGGTGGAATGCAACAGTTATGGATAAATAATGAGATTCAAAGTACTGTTTGTTGTCGGCATCAGTTGGGATCAGTTAGAGCCAATGACTTAAACCCTTGTAAAACTCTGTTAAAGATTTTTGTAAAGTACCATATTCCTTCCCCCATGTGATGATTTCTGTTCTATGCTATACAGAATGAGCAAAGGTCTTTATTAGGTACAGAAACACACACAATCACATACAGATTAAGACACAGATACAGGGACATCCACAAGACAGCCTTCAGGCTGGCACAGATTCAGACTCATACAACAAACAGATGGAGGCCAGAAAACAGGGAGCATGGAGTAGCATAGTCAGATTGAACTCACTCAACAGTTAAATAACTCCAAGAGGAAGTGTTTTTCTTTTTTTCCCTGATATGACACCAATGCTAAGCTATTGGTGACTTGGAATTAATCATTAATGTGTTTAATTCATATATTTCATAACTAGGAAACAGTCATGGTTGTGCTACTGTGGACTTAATGAGCAAATTTACTGGTGGAATCTATACCTTTTTATGTAAAGTCATTTAATTTTAAACTTTTCCATAATATAATACAGTACTGACTCATGTATTTGTGTGTATATGTATATGTGTGTGTTTATATCTATATTATGTATATGCATATATTTAAGTTTTTAAAAAGACATTTATTGGTAAACATTGTTCATACTCTTTACATACTCTTAGAAATTTGCTAGAAGTTTTCCAAATTTGACAGATCTGCTCTCCACATCCATTTTGTTATATTTTAAACTCTTTTCTGACCCAGTTCTTCAGAAAACCCACGTGGTCCCAGCTTTCACAGTGGTCTATCTGTGATATCACAGCTATCTCCAGGGCACTATAGATCAGTGGATAGGCACCATCATTATAGGGGAGATGAGTTTGAGTCCATTCACCACATCGATCTGCACATGAGAGCTGCAGAATATATATTTTAATATGTACATACAAAGGACTAGTAGACAAGTAAAACAACATGTTTTGATAAAAAATATCATTTTCTCATTTTATAAATTTAAAAAAAGAAAAGAAAAATTACTATTCACCACAGTAGTTATTGATACAAATCACTGTTGATGCATATCCCTGGGCTTATAAATATGTATATGCATGACTATGACTATACATAAATAAACAAACATAGCTCTGTAAAAACAAATTATCACAGTGTAAAGCTACTGAGAATGAGGAAATGGTCACATGAGACATTGTAAAATTTGAGAAGTGATGATGTATATTCTTAGATAATGTCACTCTCTATTGCACTATGAACAAATAAAGTTTGTGCTATTTCATGTGAAGGCAAGTGAATAAGCCAACTGAACATTATTTTTAATTATATATTCCTTCTCATACAATCAACATACACTGTAATTCTTTTCTTTATTACTTTGTTATTTTCTAGTCATAAAATAAGAGGCAGCAATACATATTCTCACTAATTAATATTAAGAGAGAAGATACTGCCCACACTTATTCCCAAATTTCACTCCATCCTAATATCTTCCTCAGTACAAACAAAATTAAAAATTAAAAACCCTGGCTTTTTGAGGCTTGAAATAATCCTGATGCTCTTGAATGGTTAGGTTGGAGAAATCATTTGACTTGATATTTACTGATTCTGTCTTATAAATTAAGCTATGAAGAGAGAAACATAATTTGGGGTTAATATGAAGTATGTCTCCCCCAGAAATATGAAAAACTAAGAATGAATTAACTCCTTTCCCCCTCAGTTTCTCCAAAGTATGCTCATTCTACATATTGGTAGTAGCTCATCTTAAGATTACAGATATTCTCGTTTTCTGTCCTAGTAACATTCATTTTAACGGAAGACTGATGACCCCACAAAAAATGAAAATAAAATCACTTCAAGTTTCTACAAAGCAATCTATGACCTGTCAATTAGACCTGCCATTCTAGGCATTTCTAATATAGGAGCCAAGTAGAATTAGAATTTCAGTTCTGGTAGCTGAATCTGTCTCTGTGTAATGCCTCAATTTCTCAGTACTGAACTCTGTTCAGTGTACACTATCAGACCATGACCAAATGGTAATTTCAAAGATCTTTTCACTTCAAACATGTTATCGCTAGAATCCCCTCTCAGAATTCTTTTTAAATGCGAAGGAGATTAGATACATGCAACAGAAATATCAACTTGTACGATGGTCCATAGTACAACATATATTTTATTAGTAAAATTTTAAACCTCCAAGTACAATGAAATAAACATATAGGTATCATTTAGAACAGTTCAAGTTTTAATGCTTTGTATCAAACTAAAACATGTATGTAAAAATTATGTCATAATTGCTGAATGGCTACTAACAGCCACAGCAGAGAATAATTAGCAATTACTAAAACATTTTTAAATGTGAGCATAAGTTTTACTCATATTTAAAGACACTTATTCAAGTTGAGTCACTAAAAACATATGCCAGTAGAAAATTAATCCATACAAATGATACATTTTTATTTATCAGTGAAGACTACTCTACCAATTCTTCTTATAAAATTCACAGACTAACCACAACATATAAGATCTCCAAAAATCATAGGTTAACTTTTATCTTATTGGTGATTTTAATACAACTCTCTATTTTATTTTAGATTCTGCTATATATTAAAAATTAACATAGGACTTTCCCACCAGGTTTCTGTTCAGTTGCACTAAGGCTTATTAATTCTGCTGAGACTTTTAAGAACAAATAGAAATGGTTAAATAATAAATAGATGCGATTTAAATAATGAAATAGATGCAACTCTTTCAATCATCCTGCAGGCCAGAATTTACCTTCTCTGGATTTAATTATCCCTTAGCCACAAGAGGCCTTTTTGTTCAGATTGAAAATATGACCGTTGGTTGTATTTATTCAAGTGGAACAGTCTACATTTTGTAATATTTTCATAAATCTCTTGCTCAAGTACAGGTTTGTGTTGGAAGGATATGTGATGTGCGACATAAGACTATAAAATAGTTGACTTTTGAGATGTAACTGTGTTTATTTATCCAATTGAAATGTGCCTGCATTAACTGATGCTGAAGTTTACCTATTGAGAGACATGAAAGGAAAATTCTGTATTCTTCTCTTCAAATTTCCAAGTTTTTAGAGTAGAATAAATCATAGCTGCCCTTGTGTGTTAGCTATGATTAAAAGGTTATTTTAAATAAATTAAATGATTCACGATTCAAACTTAACTCCTCATAAAAGGAATAGCTCTACTGTAAATTGGGTTAACTTTGGAAAGACTGAAAATTAAATAATAGCACCAGAGATTTTGAGATCACTCTCACGCTGGTAGGTAGTTGTGATGTCTTTCAGAAACCAGAGCTGACCATTTTCTCTCTGCATCTAGACAGCAAATTCCAGCTCACACAAGTTCCCTTAGAAACTGCTTCTCTTAACTTTTCCTTTGTAGCACCCTTTGTGCAAATTGCACTCATTTGGCAATGTCATGTTACACATGTAAAATAATAATAATAATAATAATAATAATAATAATAATAATAATAATAATAATTAATAATAATAATAAATCCTAGTGCTTGCCTAAGCTCTACCTTTTGAATTTGTTTTGTAGAAGTATCTTGAAGGAACTGACCAGATTTCACTGTGGTCTCTTCATTTTGTCTTGTTCATTTCTGAAACTCCTCAAGCTGTCGGCCAATGAAATGAAACATAATTCCTGACATACAAACAAAGGGAGTTCCAAAAGCAGCAAACATGAAAGACCATCCATACTTGACATCAATAAGGACATTTTCTGGAACACACCTATTGCTCCTTTCTATAGATATATATTTTGGAAAATCAACAGCATATTCCTTCCAAAGTACGAATAGGCTGAGGATCAGGCTGAACAGGGCCCCTATGAAAGAAAAGCAAATAAATACATTTGAGCAGTAAAAGTGGCAGAATCTTGAACTCATTTCCCATACAATAAAGAAATTATTACAAATATTAACCCATAAATTTTTATTTTACATTCAAGAAACATATATCACATTATGTTATCTATACTTCGAAATTTAAAAAACACAGACTAAGGAACCTCTGTATACCAGCATTTTAGTACTCCCCAACTATTTCAAATTGAACTGTTTTTCATATTCTACAATAGGTAATGTATTTTTTATGTACTCTGATTGTCACTCCAAGCTGCCCAAATGCATGTAAAGTATTTGGTGTTTACTTTTTTCAATATTATTTTTTATATTATTTTGAAATTAAAATATAATTACAACATTTTCCCCATCTCCCTTCTAACCCTTCCCATGTCCTTCTACTGTTCCATATCAAAGTCATGGCCTCTTTTCCTTTAATTACCATTGCTACATATACATACATATATGTGCATAAATAAATAAATACAACCTGTTCATGTCATGTAAGCACTCGAAAAACAGTTTCCCATGGCTGAGGAGATGATTTAGTGGATAAAGCACATACTCATGGTGTAGTGTTAGGACTTGAGCTTGAATGCCCAGAGCCCACAGACAACTGGCTATAGTAGCATGCACCTGTAATCCCATTGATCCTATAGCAAGATGGAGGCAAAGAGCAGAGACGGACTTAAGTGAAGTATGTGGGGCAGCTATCCCTGCATACACAGCAGCACAAACGAAGTGGAAGGTGATGACCAGCCCTCAGGCTGTTGTCTGCCCTCTACACATGCACTTAGTAAGTGTGCACCTGCACTTGCACATACAAACATGCATGAACATAAAAGCGTGCGCATGCACGCGCGCGTGCACACACACACACACATCATATACACAAAATAGAAAGAAAATTCAACCTCCCTTTCATTTTTACCTTTTGTATTAAGTGAGTTTCTATTATAGCTACCTAATTACATTGATCATATAGTAACAATTTTACATAATTCTATCATACTAAATTTTATACTGCATCCTATGAACATAGCACTTAGAATACATAGGGCAGAAATCATGATCTTGGTTATGCAATAAATGGAAATCTTGTAAGTTATTATTTAAATGAATTAAATATCCAGAAGTTTTATGACAGACCATTATAAGTTCCTTGTGTCATGAAACTTATTACTCATTTCCACCACAATAACTAAGAACTTTGCAATTACCCAAAATCCTGTAATAAAATATACTACTGTTTTGTTTTTTTAGTTTAGAGTCAGAAGAAAGCATTTGCATATGAAAGTCCAGAAACTAAAGTGTTAAATGCTATCTTCCCTAAAACATATATGTTAATTATAGCATTGGCTGTTAGTTTAAATTAAATGTAACAAATAAGCAATTTATATTTATATACACTTTTGTACTTAAAGTACCAATTAATTGGCCATAAACAAATTGCTGCAGCCATAAATTAATAGCCACATATTCTTCAGGAAATACAATACATCCATAATAATGTAATTAAACCTTTATTGCTCATGTAACTTTAAATTAAATTAATTGGATGGCAAGTGAACCTCATTAAACATCCTTCTTGCAATTAATTCATGTTTTATTAACATACAATACTAACCTGAATATACCTAAATGAAAGACTAGTCCTTTGGGGCACATGACAAATACATAGTATTAAAATGGTTTGGGAACTTAGGAAGAAACTCTGTATTTCTCCAGTGTTTAGACAGTATTTTAAGAAGAAATTCAATTATCACATTATATATTCATTTATATGTTAGGGAAACTGACAACCCTTGGGTGAATCCCAATGGTGTAGAAAGAAATCAAATGACTTCCTCCATTATTGATGAGATCACAATTACTTATCAACTCTGAGAAAGAAGGATGAATATATTTTACTAACAGAAGAGGTTTCTTTTTCACAGTATCATTTTTGTCATTCAGCGTTTTCTTCAAATGGTTCAGATTGTCAATGGGAGAGGCTTTGTATATATAATGCTGAGAACATGTAGTTCAGGAAAAGGTTAGGTGATTACTAAGAGGGTATAAGATTCATTTGCCCTTTTACAAGGCCAAGTAAAAGTCCCCCAAACAAGCACACCGAAGAAAGGCAAACAAAACTGTATCTCCCCCAGCTAGTAACACAGTTTGTAGAATGATGTTCTTTCAGACGCATCAATAAACACATCCATTCTGACACTTTTCACAATACCCAGCTAAACTAAGCTGATTCTCAACCCATTTAAATATAATGCACATTTTGATATGTGATGTACATTTTAATAGTTACAATTATGCTAATCAGCTATGCTACATTTAAAACTATAAACTAACACACCACACACACACTTATATATAGTTAGGTATATCATGTGCAAGTATTTCCCCATTGTATAGGTTCCTTTTTTCATTTAATTAACTGCTCTATTTGCTATAAAGAAGATAAATAAATCAGTTTTTTAAATGGACAAAATGTCTGAAATTTTTCAGGTTTTCAGAAAAATGTGTTTATTCCAAAGTACACAAATGATTGATCAAACAGTTCAGTGTCACTGATAATCAACTGATAACCACCAGCCATGTAAATAAAAAAAAAAGATGTTATTTCAAACCTACAACAATTATCTTTAAAACAGCATGTTAAAATTGGCCAGATGGATGGAAAAAAGTAAGCATTTGTATACTGTTGGTTGGAATGAAGTTAATGAGGTCATTATTTAGAAAACTATGGAATTTATGAAATAACAAATAGAACTACAGCGTAGGAATTCCTATTCTAAGTATATAAAAAATGGTAATGGAGCCAGTTCCCTATGGAGATACCAGCATTCCCATTTTCATTTAATCCTTTTCATTACAGCCAAGACACAGAAACAACCTTAGTATATACCCTTATATGAACAAATAAATAAATGAAAGTGCTTATATTACAGCTCTGAAGGGAAAGGTATCCTTGTAGTCGGAAATCAAGGAATATCTATAGCTCCTACACATCTGGAAAAAAATATTGTCTTTTCTCTATCAGATGATAATCAGCATGGTGAAAAATTGGTTAGCTAGCTGGGTGTGGTGGCACACACCTTTAATTCCAGCACATGGGAGGAAGAGGCAGGCAGATCTTTGTGAGTTCAAGGCCAGCCTAGTCTACAGCCTAGCCTAGGACAGCCAGAGCTACACACATAAACCTTGTCCTGAAACAAACAAACATCAGCAACAAAAATAAGTAGTTGGCTATAGATATGTAAGTTCATTTCTAGGCTCTCCATTTGTTACTTTGTATCTATATTTATATCAGTAACATAGTAATTTGATTGCTACAAGATTGTAACATATGTTTGAATCATTCTGTGTTAAGATACTTTTTTTTCTGTTTTTTACTGAAAAGAGAGTTTTTCATACAGTATATTCTGACTATGGTTTCCCTTCCCTTAACTCCTCCAAGATCTACCCCTCCTGCCCTCCAAATCCATACGTTTTCTGAGAATACAAATATTTAACCGGATTTTGAGACCATACAGCCTATAAATTTATCAAATTGTCATCTTACTCTATTGATTTGAATAATATTTAAGTATTCATTAAAGTGCCTGTCCCTGGTGCTTGAGCTTGCTTTTGGGAACCTATTCCCCATGCTGGGTTGCCTAGCCCAGCCTTGATGTGGGGGAAGAGCTTGGTCCTGCCTCAACTTGAGTGCCATGCTTTATTGATGCCCTTGGGAAGCCTGCCCCTTTCTGAATGGATGGAACTGGAGTAGTGGATGGGAGGGGCAGGGAGGGAACTAGAGGAGAAGAGGGAGGGGGGATTGTGATTGGAATGTAAAATAAATGAAAAAAATTTAAAAATAATTAAAAAGGCAAGAAAAATAAATTTAATTTTATAACCAATGCTTTTGTAAGCCTTATATAAAATAAGTCTGCTTTTTATGTATCTGAAATTCATAAAATGTACTTATGGCTTGAATTCAATAGTGAACTAGAGAACCTTTCTTTTCTACATGGTACCTGTATGCTTGCACAGCAAAGTTTAAAAAATAGAAAAACTACTGTTCATATTTGAAAACAGGTGATAGGTAATAATGCAAGTAGGAAGTGTGTAGTTTCTCTTGGGACAGGAATTCCAAAGTCCCAGATTAACCAGTGTTTTCTATTATGTCTGTTTCAATTTAGAGTATCATCATCTCATGATACTATCAGAATTTGTGGTTGAGTTAAACAATTCATTGCTATCAAAAGTACCAAAACATAGAAGTATCTGGTATTCTTAAAAGCTGAAAAAGATTTTAAAACTGCAAAAAAGCTTGGAATTTGCTAATGTGAGAGGGAGAAGAAATGAGGAAGAAAGATCCACCCTTAGTATGGGTAGCACTAGCCAATAGGATGGAACTCATGGATCTAATATCTGGGCTTCTAGAAAACAATAGCTTATACAAGTATACAAGTGTATAACTTAAAAACATATGAGTTAATTCCATTGGAATTTTCTACTTCGTTTTTCTGGCCTGTGATTGAATATAACTAACTGACATGGAAAACAAAATTGTGAATAAGGGAACAAATGGGCTTCCATAAAAACAACTTTTCAGATTCTGTCTGGCATAGACATTACATACTTATTTGTCATTCTATACCTGTATTATTTCCTTTAGAATAATGATCTTTAGCTCTATTCATGCTGCATTTGATGGGATTTAGAATTTTGATGATTGAACAAATGTTCTGATTTTGTATAAACATTACATTTTCTATCTATTCAGCAGGTCAAATACTTAGGTGGTTTCCATGGTTTGACTGTTATAGTGTCTTAGCTATGATTTCTATTGTTGTGAAGAGACACCATGACTACAGCAACTCTTATAAATGAAAACATTTAATGGGGTAGCTTACAATTCAGGGGTTCCATCTATTATTATCATGGTAGTACATGGTAATGTGCAGATAGACATGGTGCTGGAGGAGGAGCTGAGAGTTTTACA